GGGCACACTGCAGAATGGGGTTCGTTACTTGTGTATCGTTCTTTTCAGATTTAATTATTAGTTGGTCCTGAATTGGGATAAATACCCTGAAATGGGATAAATGCAGTGACCATAAGGTTTTCATTAAAATAGTACTGTAATATAAGTGTGCATGTTTTGAAGGTACAGGTAAAGGTGATCATCTCGAATCGTGTAGTGTTATGAATGACTGTGCTGCTCCTGGAAAAGTGATTGCATGTGGGCGTGTCTAATCCGTGCCCAATGTTTCCCTTCCCTCAGGACACCTGGGAGGATATCCTTATTGGTGATGTGGAGCTGAAAGGGACCGTGTGTTGTGGCAGGTAAACATTTGAAACCTTTATTTTATATAGATGCAAAGAGGTTTATGATAAGAAGCCGTTACTGATTTAGCACTGTGTGTCGTTGCAGGTGTATTTTAACAACTGTTAACCCAGACACTGGAGTCCTGGACAGGAAGGAGCCCTTGGAAACATTGAAAAGGTTATAAAAACAGCAGCGTTTCTTAGGCTGTGGGAGAGGATTTAGGCTAGATCCCAACACGTTAGAGTAGTATTTTTGAACTGTGTGTGCGACATAATCATGCAGAGTAAGGGTCTGTGTATACTGGCTTCCAGTCTATTTTTTGCAGTTCTGTATAGTAAGAAAATTCAAGTTCTCTCTTCTTTCTTGCAAACTTTACATTCTTATCTCTTCCATCTCTGCACGCGTGAATGCTTGGGGTAACGTGTTTAAGATATTTAAAGCTCTAACTTTGCTACTTTGACTTTTCTTTTTACAAAAATTTTTGTGTAAGTATTAGACATAGATGGATGAATACAGTCAAGCTTTTTTTCCTTCCACTTGAAGTGTTTGATTCTCATAACTACAATATTTATTTAGTTTTTAGTCTAGTATGGTGGTGAAAACAGGGCATCATTATTCATGTCCTCTCTTTCATCACTGATATTTTGATGTTTAGGTTTTGCTACCACTGATTCTAAAGAAGGGCTTTCTCTCTACAGTTACCGCCTTTGTGATCCATCTGAGAGACACATCTACAAAACCAGCCCTCTCTTTGGGAAATACTTTGCTGTTGACAAAACTGGAACGATTCAAGTTGGAGACCCTGTGTACAAGATGACCTGGGAATGAAGAAGACTTTGATCAGAAGATGCTTTTTCACCTTCATACAAAAATTGTTTTCCCATGAACACTGTCACCAACATTACCTTTTCTTATTCCTTGCAATACTTTTTGTGCCATGTCCCTTTGTAAGGTGCAGGGAGGTCTTTGAGGCTATGAAGTGCCAGCTCTTTCAGATCATGTAATCTACTAACATGCCTGTAGCAACCAGGTCTTGATTTTTTCTGGAGGCTGTGAGAAAAGAAGCTGATCCAAGACAGACTTCACAGCACTACTCTGAGCATCACACCTCCTAAAATTTCATGTCAGCCTCAATATTGGAAGCTGAAATTTTGTACAGGGGTTTGCACTGTGTATTAGATACATTTAGTGCCTATAAAGAACCACAAAAACAGTCATGCCAAGCACAAAGTGTGTTGGTCACAGAACTGCCTTTACAAGTGAACATGGAGTGAAAATGGCAGGATTCTGTCTTGGATTCCACCCTTCTTTGGTCCTAATCATCTTACCCACCTATGTGTATGTCCAGAGGTACTTTTCTGCAGTGTTTCTAAACCTGCAGTTGTTTCCTGAAGATTGCTGCTATCTTTTGAGATTGGAACAATAGCAGGAGAAGGCTTGTGAGCTGACTAAATGTTACTGCAGTGTAGAGGTGGGAACACTGGCTAATGATGTCTGGGGGTTGGGTTGGTTTGTGACCTCTGCTCAATAGTTTGAACCATCAATTTTTTTCTCCTGTGAAAGGAATTCTACCCCAGCACTGTAACACTGAGACTGTAGTGATGCATTTGCTAACATATCAGTAGAATTTCCAGTTTGACTAAAAGGATTGGATGTTCACTCTGTCAGAGACTTCATGCACAGTGGAGGGGAAGAAAAGCCATCAGGAGTGATCTGATGCCGAGCCTGCCCTGTTCAAACAGATGTCCAGGCAATGTTGTAGGGCTCTGGGTCATGTGTAGCTTCTTTGTGACTCAGTGAATCTCTTAGTACGGAAAGTTAGGCTGCTAAGCAGATGTTTGGGAAGCTGCAGCTTGAGACTGAACATGTTAACATCCTTACTGGTTCTGCATCTAGATCTCTGGTTACCAGGCCTGTTTCAATCTAAACAAGATGTCAGGTGTTTGTAGGAATCTGATAATTATATTTTCTACTGCATAAAACAAATAGCGGAGGAAACTAGTTGTATTGCAGCAGTATTATCTTTAATTGTTATGTGATTTTTTTTCTTTTTGAAAGTGAACTCCTAGATAAAAGCTAGCTATCTTTCAAATGCTTGTTGCTTGTTTCAAAAGCTTTTTGCTTTGTTATGGATTACTAGATCTAGAAAGAGTGTTCCCCTAGCCAAAGAGAGGAATCTAATTAAGTGTGGAGAAGGGCAAATATGTCTGAATTTGGTGTTTAGATTCTTTCTTTTCTATTTTAAGTATAAACCTGAAATTTTAGTGCATGTTCACAAATTGGACCTGAAGAATGGAGAGCCATTGGGCTTTGAACAAGTTCAGGTGGATGTGTGTGACAAGTCTGAAGCAGAAATACGGGGAAGGTATATTTGTGAACTCAAAGTTGCTCTGAGTGTCATTTTGTTAGCAGAGTGCTCTGTAAGAATTAGGTTTTCCTGGGACAGACAAGTACCCAGTTTGGACTACACATTGCATGTTTGTATATTGTTATGCCTCATGCAACAAACAGTGCGAGGATATGAGAGAAAGAGCATCTTTTGAAAACAAAGAATTCTGAGGGTCAATTTTAAAAAGCATGTGTTGAAGGTTCTTAGTGTTAGAAGCTGAAAGCTTGTGAAATTCCTAATGGTATTATTAAGCACAGGCAGCCTGCTGGCCTGCCAAAGCAATTAGTTAAGTGTGTGTCTCTTCATTAAGTCAAAGAAGCGGAAGGAAAGAGAGCTGATTTTTTGCCTCTAGCGAAACATATTTTTTTTCACTGTTGTTTTAGCAGCACATCAGCATTTGTTTAACAAATTGTGTGCTATAGATCCTGTAGCCTCTTGTTAGGCTGTTGTCAATTGGGATAATTTGGAAATGGGGCTGTCCCTGCAATGAGAAACAGCCATCTGCATTCTTACTGAGAAGAGGCCGTAGATCTAAACCCCTGATTTACTCCTGTAAAGCGTCTTGGAAGAATATTCCTAGGATCCTAGAACAGGTATGCACCTGTGTACAACACATTTCACAAATGACACTTAAAACAATCATGTCGTCAAAGAGGGCTGTTTTGGGAAGTCAAGAGCATAACTTAGAACATTACACTGTAAATATCTTCGTGTAACTTGAATTGCTGTAACTATGAATTTTATTTGATTTTGTTAAAACAATTTAGGAAATTGACTGAAAATATGTCAATCATAAACCACTGTTTCTAAATTGTATACTTAAAGTTAGTTCTTTTTTTTTAATTTTAGAAGAAGAAAACAAAAGTAAAAACTTTTGTTAAAGTCTCATAAGCTGTAGCATTTGTGAATCTTTCTTACCTTTTCCTTTTTTGTCTGTTTTCTGTTTCCAGGATCTCAGATGTAGTTAATACTGATGAATTTTTTTTCATCCTACCTCTAAGTACAAGAATATATGTAGTTAACCAGAGGATATGTGTAAGACAGCAGAACCATCAGATATTAAGTGGTCACCAGACTCAGTTTTACAACCCTTATGATGAAGATGTTTACAGACCAACTTCTTTTTCACAAATATATGAAAATAGGGAAAAATAGGTTTAAAAGTAGAAAAGTTTAGTACAGTCAAGTCAGTGCATCGTTATGCTTCCTATTTCATGTCTTACAGGATAAAACCAAAACTTTTTTACAGGACTTGTTACACCAATAATTCTTGGAGAAGACCATGTAAGAGAAGGACAGTTATTGCAGGCAGAAATCTCCAGATTACTTAAAATTTGAGGTGGGTATGTTTTCAGCCAAATCTGCCTGCCCCCCAAAAAGCCCGAGAAAGATTATGCTTCAGCTTCTTAAGGAGAAGAACAGCCTTCCAAAGTCATCACTCTGCTGCTCTACAAGAAGTGAAGAGATTCCTGGTCCTTGCCTCTACAAATGGCAAAAGTTTCAAAAAGGGCTGCCACAGGGTGTTAATTTTTGGTCTGTCCCAGTCCCTTAAATTGCCTTTTCCTCATTCAGGATCCGTAAGAGATTTCCTGTGCTGGGTAGCTGACAGGCTGAGATCTACACATGCAAAATCTTTGTTTCTTTTGGACAGAAGATTCTTAATGCAGGCATAAAACCCACGTGTGTATTGGTCTTCAGCTGAAAGAGAGGCAGCATTCATACCTCATAAAGGTTCAAACTTTTACATAATCTACATTGTGTTAATGCTAACAGTCTCAACTTAGATAGTCCCTGTTACTATTTTTGCATTTTACCTGTGTTGCTGCATGTTCTCAAGGCATTTCTGTGCAGAGAGATTGAGAATGAGCCTTTAGTTACTGAGTAGCCTCAATTTCCAGTATTCAACAATAGCCTGGCTTGAGGAATACCACTCTTCTCGGTGGACCACAGCTCATCAGACTGGCTTCAGCAAATCACAGAATCAGAATGGGTAAAGTTGGAAGGGACCACAGGGGGTCATCTGGTCCAACCTCCCTGCTCAAGCAGGGTCATCCTAGAGCACATGGCACAGGATTGTGTCCAGATGTTTCTTGAATATCTCCAGTGAGACAGACTCCACAGCCTCTCTGGGCAACCTGTTCCAGTACATGGTCACTTGCACAATAAAAAAGTTGTTGCTCATATTCAGGTGGAACTTCCTGTGCATCAGTTTCTGCCCACTGCCTCTTGTCCTATTGGTTGACACCACCAAGAAGAGCCTGGATCCATCCTCTTGATACCCACTTCCAGATACTTACTGATAAAATCAAAACATAAGTAACTAGCCTAAGCTAAACAGCAGGTAGAGATAGAGATTACGTTCCACCCGTGCAGACCAAAGACATGGAGTAGCTTGTGGTACGTCACTGTGAAGAGTTTGGGTGTGAACCTCTCATTTTTCTGGCACTATGTAAAGAAAAAAACATCTCCCCTTTGCCCCTGGACTGTTACGCACAAAGCATCTAGCTGGCTGAAACTTCACTTTCCTCCAGGAGCAATATTGTAGAGAATTGTATCTTCTCTAGTGTACAGAATTGCTCTGACAGCTTATCACTGCTTGTTTAACAGTTGACTGTTCTCACTTCCTTTAGGCGCTAGAGAATAAGCATAGTGAAACAATTACCGGGCTCCATTGATGCACTAACCCTCAAAGCCTCCTTGCTGTTGAGTTCCAAAAACCAGCTTCATTCACTGTTAATTGAGGTTTGTCTTCCAGAGTTTCTGAAGGGTGATGATTCTTCAGCCATCGCAGCCACAATTATATTCACTGAGTCATGGACAGCTATTTTCAACAGACCTTCCTATAACGCTTTGGCATAAGTTAAAGGTGGTGGCTAAATCTCTTCATTTTGTCAAAATTTTGCACTTTGTAAGTGTAGGACTAGAAAAAACAAAACAACTGGATCAGAGTGCAGTCTTCTATAGCTGCAAAAACAAATCAATAGACATTAATTTCAGGCTTGGACAATACCTCCTTCATCCCTCTCCACATACCATGGGCCACAGAGCCAACTTCCTGTCAAGCTTTGAAAACTTTAAAATTTTGATAAAAGATCAAAAGCAGTTGGACTGCAAGAATATCATAAGAGAGATCAAGAGTACTACCAGTGTCTTAGATACTTTCAAAGATAAAGACTGAACTCCTCAAAAAATAATCTTCCACTGTCTTTACAGTTGTGGGGTTTGCTGGTCCATATTAACTCTCCATTCCTTGGGTTTGTTTAAGATAAAGCAGAATGTCAACCTCTTTTCAATTACCTCAAGAAACAGATAACATGAAATTTCATTTCATTCAGCTTTCCTTTATTTCTGCTTAATAGACCTAAAGCTGTTCAACAATGGTTTACTATATCCTGGACTGCATGGCTTTTCGTTGAACTCTCTTCCCAGCTCATGTTCATGAGCTCAAAAACCTAAGTCACAGACATACTAGCTGAGGATGCAAGTTGCTCTGTAATTAATCCTGGAAGGGGCACCAGGAAGCCAGGTAGAATCCATCAATCTAAACTTACTTGTTAAAAGTCTGGAAAAATACCTCATACTTTCAGAATTCCATGAGAAGTATCTGTTCAGCCCTGGAAGCCGTTTTAGGAAAAGGCAGAGTTTATTTGAAATGCAACTCAAACACACTTGAGTCCTTCAACAGCCACTTCAAAATAGAGAAGGCTCTTGGCACTGTGTCTGATGGAGCAGAAGGTCTGTGCTGAACCTCACTTGTAGGCAGCCCTGTGTGCTACTGCTCTCTGCTTGTGGGAACTGTACTGTGTTGTGCAACCAAAACACCTGCCTAAGTGGTCATCTGGATCTTCCTCATTGGAAGACTCTTCTCTGCTACATAGGGTGGCAGTGTTGGCTGTGCTTTCTGGGAGGGCTTATTTTGGGAACAGCCATGCTTCAGGAAGCTGCTGGGACTTATCAGCCCCTGAGAGGATGCTGAGAGCAGATAAAATTGAAATAGCTTGCAAGGACCTCTGTGGCATTGCTGAGAACCTGGCTCAGATTATCACCTGGACTCAGCTTGGCCTTGTGGAATCTATCTTTGGAAGCAGTGGTGGCAGTGCTGGAGTCAGTGTTGTGCAGCTACAAAGGGTAAACAACACGTGTGTTTATTTTAAGATTGCCATCAAGAGCAAAGTCCACGTGACTTCTTTAGTTTGAACATGCAGCTGAACCCAAGGGAAGTCAGACACTGCAGCAGAAAATGGAAAGCTGCTAGAGGAAAAAAAACCCCAAAACATTAGGATGCTATTCCACTTTTTTATTCTATTAGAATTATAGAATGGCTTGGGTTGGAAGGGACCTTAAATGTTACAATTCCAAGCCCCCTGCCATGGGCAGGGACACCTTCACTAGACCAAGTCGCTCAGAGCTCCATCCAGCCTGGCCTTGAGCACTGCCAGGGCTGCAGCCCCCACAACTTCTCTGGGCAACCTGTACTTCACTACCCTCATTGTTAAGTATTGCGCTTACCAACTGCAGAGAAACTGCAAACATGGATGGCATGGCTAGATAGTTTTCTTGCCTGGGGAGCAGAAGAGGTTAGCTTCTGCACGTGGGGAGTTTAGAGGTAGCAGTATATCTAAAACCTTAGTTACTTGGCTTGACTACATAACTCACTGCTGTTTAAACTTTTATTTTGGTTGGTTTATTTGCTTTTAAGCAAAAATTTATGTTTTTGTTTACACAGGTGTGTTAAAATATTATTTCGCTTAATTTAAAACAAACAAGCCCAAAAATACTCCCTCCTTACACCCCTCACCCCCCCCAAAAAAAAAAAACCTCCAAAACCCTAAAACTAAAAATCCCTGGGTTTTTTCAGTTGTTTGTTATGAAAAACATTGCCAGTGGTGCAGCTCCAAGCAGTAGAAAAGCCATATTGCCAATCAACAAGCCATGCATGTAATCATTATGGAGCCATCTACCAGCATCTCTTTCCTAAAAAGCCCTGTCAAATTTAACATTCTTACAAGAGCCTTGGAACACCAATGCTTGTCTTGTGTTCTGCTGACCTTTCTTCAATCCAAAAATAACTGTTCTTACCCCACTGAACTTTCTACAAACAGAAAGACATTTGATGCCAGCTACATTTGAAGAAAATAAGCTATGTTTAAAGCTATTAGTCAGTATTACAGATAGTTCCTGCTCTCTCCCATACCCCTGGGATTGTTTGCCTTTTTGAAATGGAAAAGGTTTGGATAGAGTATGTTTCTCTGGCATGGTTGTTCTGAAGGGGCCTCCCACAGATGCTATTTAACATATCCTCTGTTAATTCAAGGGGAGGTGAGTGTATTTTATCTGTTCATCTAGATGGAGCTGTCAAAGTGGATTTGGAGTTGGATTTGAAGATCATTTTAAATTTGTATATTTAAAAGTGGAGAAGTATGCCTGCAGGTGAGTCTGAAAGCAACCACTCTTATACCAAGTTCATTTATCCTTTTTGAAAAATAAAATTTGATTGTGCACTGTTAATAATAGATTTCAGATAATGCTTTTGGTTTTGTTTAGGGTTTATTTGCAGAGTGTCAGTGTTTACTCTGCATATTCTCACCAAAATTACAAGATCCTGAAATTCTCCACAAAAAAAATCATACAACACAAATCTGGTTTTGAAAAGCAATTCAATTCCTTCTGTCTTCTTTCACTTTTTTTATTGGGTAATGCAATATGAGCATTGTTTCCTTTCATCTTAAACCCTTAAAGCAGTCACCTGTTTATAGTGTGTCTGTGTGTCTATGTGTATATATGCCTATTTATTATTGAATGTATAAGAAATCAACCTTGGGTTCAACATGGTGTGCTTTGCATTTATACTCAAATACTTTGTTTTGTCGGGTTCCCCAAGGTTGCCCCAAACAAATGTCTGAGGGCATCTCAAAGTTGGCAAGATAATCAGCTCTGACCAGTTTATTTCCGTTCCTGATTGCTTACTTTTTCCCATGAGAAAATCCTTTTGGATAATGTGTTTAACTTGTGGAAGGGAATGGAAGCTCCATTCCTGCAAAATGTGAAGGTTCCCTGACTTGCTATTCTTGTTTCATGCTGACTACAACCTATTATAGATGCATGTATTGGTTTTTTTTGTTTTCTTTCCTGGCAGGTTTCCAATAAAAAAAAAAAAAAATGGAGGCATCACTTTTGGGACATCCTCTGGACTAAAATACTCTTAGCATCAGTGAAATAAAGCTGGATGGTACATAGTGTCCCAGCACTGGATGAAGCTGTGATAATTAACTTTTAAAGCTTTAAAACTTCATTGGCTTGTGGGGTTTATTCCTTTTTCCTTTCCTTTTTTTTTTGTTTTGTTTTGTTTTGCTTAGTTTTCTTTCTCCTTTCTTTGTCTGTCTTTAGTGAAAGGCACCTTAAAGGAAGCTTCTTCTAAATTTCCAGCTTCAGTGCTTTCTGCTGCACTTTAGGTCCTTCTGTGTCATACAAATGGTGCATCCCTCAGTGTATCTGAACGCTCAGTCCCCTTTTCCGCAGGTTGAACATCTTTCCTGTAGTGGCTCTTAGTCCAGTTGCTCATGGAGCCATTCAGGGTGTAGTGCAGCCAGGTGGGATGGCACTGGGACTCTGCTCAGTGTGTAGTGAGGTCAGGGAAAGGAAAGGGAGAAGAACAACTATCATAATGCGTTATAATGGTAAATAGTTTGGGGTTTCTGTTTACCAAAGCCCAGTGAAAGATGTGTTTCTGCTGGATAAGGACAAGCTCTGTTGAAATTATAGGACCCTCGCTGTTGCTCCCGGGGTTCTGTGTTTTACCCCAGCGTGTCTGGCAGGTTCCTAGAGATTGTGTGGCCATAAATACAGCCCCATTCTAAAAATGCCAACACCTAGTGCATGTTGGGGTGCACCTGGCTGTGTGTATATGCACTTTTGAGAGTTTCCACCAGCCATCCCAGTGACATCTCTGGGGACACTGGGCATAAAGATGGGGAATGTAAGGGTTAGAAACTGATAACTCACTTGAATATCATTGGTTCCTGTGTTGGCATAGTTATTATATTGTCTCTTTGTATTGGCTATCTAAATGTCCAATCACCACTCTCCCCACCAGCCCATATAAGCTGGGGGACATTTGAATAAAGGCTCTTTCCTGCTGGCCTCCCTGCGTGCTGCGTGTTCTTTCCCTCCTGGCAGAGGTCCCTCTGCTGCCTGTCCCCGCCACGAGGGCAGGCAGCGGGGGGGAAGCTCAGCCCTGGAGACCCTCACACAGCGCCGGGAGAGACCCCCCAGAAGCCACTCAAACCGCAACAGGGGAACTGTCCCTGCAGCCTCCCCCTGTGCCACAGAGCTGAGTGGCAGCTCCAATGTGTGCGCATCTATACAGCCTTGTAAAAGAAGCCTCTGTGTGCTGGATGGTGTCAGGTGGCACCTCCAGAGGTATCCAGTGGAACTGGAAAACAGCCTTGTGTGTATTAATGACCACCTGCAGTGTGTAGTCTGCTGTAGCTTTGGCTGTGACCGTAGATACTCTGCTGAGGGCTGCTTTCTCTGGAGAATGATGTTGCTTATCTTGGTTTTGCAACTTCAGTAAATCTTTTGCTGTCTTTTGTACTGTGCTGGGACATGTGGGGTTTTCCAGTGTGATACACTTTCCTACATGTGCCTGTGCCGTCGCAGAAGTTTTTGATTAATGTATCACGTGTGTGCCAAATATCTACCTCTTGAAGATGATATACTGAGAAGGAAAGATGCAAAATCAATTTGGGATATAGGACGTCCCAGGCTTATTTGGTTAGAGTGAATTTATTTGTGTCTAATCCCATTGGTGTCAGAAGTTCTGCTTTCAATCTTCACCCCATATTGAAATTAAAAGCCTTGGCACTCATCAGTGCCAAGAAATAAATAACTGACCAAGGTTCTCTCTTCAAGCTTGTCCCAAGTGAAGTTTTTTGCATGATTATTTTTGTTTTATTTGCATCTGTGACTGGAACCAGTTCCTGCCAGTGTCATGGCTGAATAGCAGCCTGTGCTTTAGGGAGTCTTCCATAAATTGCATGGGACAAGTTCAAGCCAGGAGTCACAAGGGTAACAATAAACACATGAAGGTTTCACACAGATCAGCTTCTTGAAAATGCTGTACTCACTATCACTCTGAGAAGGAATGACTCTTAAGTAAAATCTTTCTTCTCTGCTTTAAGATGCCCTGGCAAATTCTGCTACAGGGACTAAACAAGTGGGGAAAACAACCAGCTGGAAAAGAAATCTCTGGGTACTGCTTTTGAGGCAGGCATAAGTGACATCACAAAAATTATGCTTCTTTTAACAAAGCAGGTTTTTCAGAGAGTCTTTTCTAAAGTCAGGGCGGGATTTATCTGTTATAAGCCACAATTGCTGAACTGATGTGTGAATAGTTGAAATAACCAAGAAGCTTTCTGTGAACAACACATGGGCGTGTAATGTCTGGGTGGCACACCCTGAGTGAAAGTGCTTTAATAATAAGTGCTTTAAGAAGTTCCTGCGCTGTGCAGTAATGGAGAGAAGGGGAGAAATGACTCCTCATTCTCTGAGCACGAGGTAATGGTTTTCCTTCTCATTAAGCCTTCCTTTTGGCTAGAAGTTGGGTATTTTTAACATCATTCTTTTAATGTCCTTTTTTATGGGACAGAACAAAGGGAAGAAAACGCTCTTCATGTGTTACAAAAAACCCACAACAAAACAGGTGCATTTCCACTGCATTTTGGAAAAGCATAGGGGCAGTTCCTCCTCAAAGCACTAGTTTGCTATGGTTCAGCCCTGGCACCAGTTTGCTTCACATTGCTGTTCAGTAGTGTCCCATCAGCTGTGTGCAACTCTCTTTCATTGAATGTTGCTTCCGCTGCCAACAGGAGGAGCAGGAAACCACTTCTGAATTAGAGCCAGGAGTCACTTGTAAAATACTCCTTTGGCCACCTCATGAAGGGCTTGCGGCACCTTCACGGTGTTAATCCAGCACCTGGCAAGCTTTGGGCTTCTTACAAACCCCAAGGGGAATGGATAATCATCCTCTCTTTCTCTGAGAAAAGCAGAGTGAAACACAAGAGGTGAAATGCTCTGATAATGACAGTCAGGCTCTGCCAGCATTTCACAGTCAGAAAGCAGTGAGTGGCTCCTGGAGGACTTCCAGGCATTTCTCAGTGACAGGCAGGAGCCTGTGTGTGCCGTGCAGGGCATGCACAGTGAGCTGGCAGCATCCAGGAGCCTTTGGCGTGCCAGCAGGAACACTGCACGTTAGCTGGACCTGGAAGCCCCATGGTGGCAGAGGCCAAGGAACCTCAAAGCAGCAGTGAGTGAAGGCTGCTGGTCAGGGTTTTACTTGGTTGCAACCAGAATGCAGATGACACAGGAATCCTGCTTGAGGACTGTATCTTCTTGGTGCTCAACTGTGCTGTGAGGAGCTTGGGTTGATGTGGCACAGGGTATTTGTCTTGTCCTTGGATTTGCAGGGTAGAGACATCTTTAGCTCCTCCTCCCTTGAAGTATAGGTTGTAGTTGTCTCCCTTTCTGAAGGAAAGGCTGGTGATAATCATGTGTTAATATAATGAGTAGTCAGTGTTGATCCACAGCTGCAGCAGAGGCAAAACTGCATTTTATTCTTTTGAGAGGAAGAGAAAAAGAGCTCATTAAGGATTTGATGTTGCCTGCTGGAACAGGAATCGGAATGGCTTCCCTTCACCTCCAGGGATGGTGACTCCACCACTGCCCCAGACAGTCCATTCCAATGTTTAACAACCCTTTCAATGAAGAAGTTCCTCCTGATGTCCAACCTGAACATCCCCTTGAGCAGCATGCCCTCTTGTCCTGTCACTAGTTGCCTGCGACAAGAGGATGACCTCCATCTGGCTACAACCTCCTTTCAGGCAGTTGCAGAGAATGAAAAGGTCACCCCTGACCCTCCTTTTCAAGAAAAAGAGAATCCATATAGGGCTGTACAGGTATTGGGAGGGGCTTTGCTGTTCAAGATTTTTAAGAATAAGTTGGACAAACCTTGCCCAGAAAGTTGTTTTTTTGTTGTTGTTGTTTGGGTTTGGGGTATTTTGCATTGCATTGCTGGTTTAGTCTGTAAGTTCTCCTTGTAAGTGTAAGTGCAGAAAGGTCGTTAAAACATTGTAGCCCATGGGTTCAGCTTCTTGCATAATAGATCTGGCATTTTAAGTCATTAGCAACAAATGGTAATTTCTGGCTATTGCTGCAATGGATAACTTTGGATAGAAAGCTCTGTACAAACAATAGACAGGCTAAAAGAGATTTAAATTGCTATTGAACTCTCCTTGCACCTTCTGGGATGAACAAAGCAAACGAACAACCACAAAAAAAACCAAACCACACAAAACAAAAAAAACCAATCCAGGGCATCTGTAATCTGTGGACACTGAAAAGCTGAATTGACCTCACATATCCATAGAACACCACAAATTTGTGTTACTTCACTTCAGTTATCGTTTATACTTGTCAAAACTCACAGTGCAATATGTTACATTTTCACCCTCAATTTCTACTGGAAATTGCTTTTAGAGTGACTTATTCCTTATTCTTTTTTGTGATTCCTGACATGTTCCACATTTCAGTAGCTCTTAATTTTAATACACATGATCTTAATCATTGGCCTTTCTAGTCATCATGTTTGAACTGTTAAAGTTAAGGGTCTGTAAGCCGTAAGCTATACATCCAGCATCTCCAAGAGTGAGACCTGAAACTGAGAACTGAGGAATTATTTCACCTGAATAAGGTGATTAGGATTTGACTTGAGATCTCAGTGTGCTACGGATGATCTTTGTCTTTCTTCAAGATGTTTTTGTGAAGCAATGCTTCAGGGATTTGTGCTGCATCCTTCAGAGCTCTGCTTTTCTTGTCTGATCTGATTAGCATGATAAACTCACCACACAGGAGCATCACTGTCTGTGTTACCATGTTAATTATACACAAAAATGCAGCACTGCAAACATAGCACTTCTGCTGTGAGACCTGGTCCAGCTGAGGTCTACATCCAAGAAGTCCTGATGTGGTCTGCTGCCATGTACTTGCTCACTAGGATGTCTGTGTTGGTAAATGAGAATTGTGTCTATAAAGGACTTAGATGTAAACAAAATGAACTCTGCCTATTTTTTTCCTTCTTACAAGACTCATAAGCAGATAAAAGAATTCAACATGAGCTCCCTAGCCTGCCTTAAGACTGTGCATGAACTTTAAGCTCCCATAAATATAACAAAGTGTAGGTTTCTAGGAAAGGGAATCATTAATTTGAGGGACTGATGTCCTTCGCGTCTTGAAGGA